TTTTTTTTTTCTATTACAAGAGGCATAGAACTTTTTTCTGTTTGGTTTCGCCAAAATATTTTATTCTAATTATACTTATTTTCTTCTCCTTATTACTTATCAATTATAAACAGTAAACGAGAGTGTTCACTTGAGATTTTCAACAGTATTCTACGCACTAAGCAGATGAGGGATAAATATGTGTATTTTCTATTGCATATGTTAATTTCTAACTTAAAACTGATAACAAAGATTTGTTTGCCATTTTGTTTCGCTCTTTTTTTTTTTTTTTTTAAACTTAGTTTTGTCGACTTTCTAATCGGTTTTTTTTTATTTTATTAATGTTTATTTAACAGCTGTTTGTCTACGTTTTTAAGGTAGTTGGTGACAATTATGGACAAAGACAGCGCCAATGACAGCAAATTAGATGGTAAGTGCATTTAGCCAAAGAAAGAAAAAAAAAAAGAGAGGAAAATGTTAGTATAACAAAAACATTAAAAGAAAAGAAACTTTTTTTTAGAAAAAGTCTAAATTTATTTATTTTTTCTTAGCATGCTTACTTGCTTTCTCGCTTTCTTGCTTTTAAGAAAAAAAAAAAAAAGAAAAACTGCCATTACCCGATGCGATTAAGAAAATGCTTTTGAAAAACGTTACAAAAATTAGGCAACAGTTTGACAGCATTAAGAAATGGGATGATCATTCACAGATTGATACTGATATGTTGCCATTCATTCCTTGCGGTTACCTTCATCTCAGTATCCGTTGATGTTCAACGGTTTCTGTCGGCTGCCATCAGAAAACTCATCTTTTGAGCAACGAATACATTTAATAGTTGTTTATTCATTCAGTTACTTGTTAATTCTGAATAAATTTTAAATTTATTTTAATTAAATCATTAATCGACAAAGTATTCAAAGAACGTTTTAAATATCAGAAAAATCAAACCAACTGTTTGTGAACTTAATTCTGAATTGTTTTTTCTCTGAAGTAAAACAAGAAAAAAAAAAAGAAAAACTGTAAAAGAAAAGTAAAAGAAGTAAAATTTGATGGATAAGCTTTAGTTTTTTTTTTTGCTGTTTCTAATCAGTTTCAGTAATTATGTAACCCGTAGTTTTTTTTTTACCACCAATTTAAGTTTTTTCTCATAGACAACAGTCGGGTTGCTTCCCGTCTTTTGGTTTCCCAATCTTTTATCGCTCGTTGCACACTGATACTGTAGAAGAAAATTTTTTTTTTTTGTTTTTAGATACACTTGATGTAATTCTGATGTTTTTGTCAACATTATTTGCTAATGCTAAGCAAAAAACTGATAGAATAGTGTAAATAAAATTCAAGAGAAACATTTTTGCACTTTTTTTTTTGTATGTAATATTTTTTTTGCATGTAATAGCCAAAAAAAAACCAGAAGAAGAGTATTGCAAAATACAGCAACTTTTGTTTTGTACAAAGATTTAAAGCTTTATTATAAGAAGTTGTTCATGTTTTAAGAGAAAAAAAAAAAGCACAGTCGAAAGTTGTGTGAGTAAAAGAAAAAGGAAAATATGAAACTAAAAGAATAAAAAAAAGTTATACTGCAAAAAAAAAAAAAATAGAAGAGAAACAATTTTAGAGTATAAAAAAGCTTTCTCATTTTTTGATGAAAATGATGATGGACAAATAACGTTACGAGAATTAGAATCTGCAATGAATCGATGTGGACAATATCCAACTAAATTGGAGCTGAAAAGAATAATGATTGAAGCCGATAAAGACAGTTGGTTTTTTTTATTCTTCTGTTTTTGGGACCACCAAAGTTGTAATCCGTATTGTTGACAGTTCCCAATTGAACAAAAATAATCATTTACTTTATAGCACAATTTTGTTTGTTGAATGAGACAGTTTAAGGATTA